GGGTTTTGGCGGGAATTTGAGGGTTTTGGCGGGAATCTGGGGGTTTTGGCGGGAATCTGGGGGTTTTGGCGGGAATCTGGGGGTTTTGGCGGGAATTTGGGGGTTTTGGCGGGAATCTGGGGGTTTTGGCGGGAATTTGGGGGTGGGCGTGGCCTCACCTTGTCCCAGGTGCGCTCGTCGGCCTCGAGGGCGGGGCCCAGGTGGGGATTGACGGCGGCGTTGGACACCAGGATGTCGATGGCGCCAAATTCGGCCAGGGCCTGCCCGAAAATCCCCAAAATCCACCCCAAAATTCACCCCAAAAATCCCCAAAATCCACCCAAAATTCACCCCAAAATCCCTAAAAATCCTTAAAACAATCCCCCAAAAAATCCCCCCAAAAATCCCCAAAATTCACCCCAAAATCCCCCCCAAAATCCCTAAAAATCCTAAAAACAATCCCCAAAAAATCCCCCCAAAAATCCCCAAAATCCACCCCAAAAATCCCCAAAATCCACCCAAAATCCACCCCAAAAATCCCCAAAATCCTTAAAACAATCTGCAAAAAAATCCCCCCAAAAATCCCCAAAATCCACCCCAAAATCCCCCCCAAAATCCCTAAAAATCCTAAAAACAATCCCCAAAAGAATCCCCCCAAAAATCCCTAAAATCCACCCCAAAAATCCACCTAAAATCCACCGAAATCCACCCCAAAAATCCCCAAAATCCACCCCAAAATCCCAAAAAAATCCCCCAAAAATCCCCAAAATCCACCCCAAAAATCCATCCCAAAATCACCCCAAAAATCCCCCCAAAAAAACCCAAAAAACTCACCCCAAAAATCCCCAAAATCTACCCAAAATCCACCCCAAAAATCCCCCCAAAATCCCCCCAAAAAATCCCCCAAAATCCATCCCAGGTGTGCCCAGGTGGATTTTGGGGTGAATTTGGGGGATTTTGGGTGAATTTTGGGGTGAATTTTGGGATGGATTTTGGGTGAATTTTGGGTGAATTTTTGGGTGAATTTGGGGTGAATTTTGGGGTTAATTTTGTATGAATTTTGGGGTGAATTTGGGGGATTTTGGGTGAATTTTGGGTGAATTTTGGGGTGAATTTGTGTGAATTTTGGGGTGAATATTTGGGTGAATTTTGGGGTGAATTTTGTGTAAATTTTGGGTAATTTTGGGATGGATTTTGAGTGAATTTTGGGGTGAATTTTGGGATGGATTTGGGGTGAATTTGGGGTGAATTTTGGGGTGAATTTGGGGTGAATTTGGGGTGAATTTTGGG